TTGTGAGGAAGCACAAAAACTATTGAGAGGTAACACAAAACTGTTGTGAGCTAACGCAAAGTGCAAGGTAACGCAAAATAAAAAAAATCTCCAATGTCCCCTTGGGGGCTCAGAGAACCGGGTGAAGCTGAAAATCTCAGCCTACACATATAAGTCAATGATGATAAAAAACTAAAATCCATATATTACACAACTTTTGTCTCCTGATTCATTTGATATTTCTCAGTCTGAACTTGTATTTTCTATCGTCATTACTAGAAAATGTCTATGGATCGATAGTGCTTATGTGACGTTCACGATCCAGATCGTCTGCATGGCTCTTTACAGCGAACGACAAGCACCGAGTTCTGACAGTAAAGAGGCGTTCCTAGTTTTATTTTTTCCCTCCAAAGTGATGAGCAGGAGGTTCCCGCTTGACAAAACATGTGGTGCGGCCCCGACGTCGTACGTCATAAGGTGATGACGTATATCCGTATATCATGATGATGTCACTCATTCAAAATTGAACGGCTCTGTGAAGCAAACCGAGTGTCAAGATCCCGTTCAATCTCTAATAGTGCTCTTTGGTAAACTTGTCTGGTGAATACTTCAGCAACAACAGCAGCAGGTCATCCGAGTGCACTGAAACTTACCGAGCCGCCATCTTGAGTCCTTGGAAAAATAAATGAAACTTCCTGTTAAACAAAAGTATATGAAACAAATTTAAACAATGTTGCTGTAGAAAGGTCAACTGACAAGTTAGTACAGAGTAGCCGACAAAAATACTCCCAATTTGTATCCGTTTCCTTCAATTTAGTTTCTTACATTTAGCTTAACAGCTTTGTAGCAATTAGCTTGTTCGGATGGTGCAGAAGATCTAGTAACTTTCAGAACTTTTTCAACGCTCTGTAACTACAGAAAATGTTAACTCAAAGCTTTATGACTGACAAAAAAAAAACATATTTAAAAAACTAGAAATAGAGTATTCCCAAACTATTACAAGTTTGTAAACTCAATATTAAACGTATCCTGCTGGTTGCTAGAGGCCTCTCTCTCACCACCAGGTTTATGCTCAAAAGGTTGTTTTTCAGAGACGGGTTGATGTGAAATCTATCTGATAAATGACGACTTTAGGTCTTTGTTTTATGTTTTATTCACTTATAGTTTTTTATGTATTTAAACCTCAGGTCTTGTCTTCAACACGTACGACTGAGCTCAATTATGAACAAACACAAAGTCTCGTTAAATTTATGAAGTTAATACAAACTGGTTGGTCAAAATTGGTGGTTTCATTTGGCAAACTGAAGGTTTTTGTATCCATTTGAAAATGTATTTTTAAAAATTAGGACTATTCAACATGTGGCCCATGGGCCAAATTTGGCTTTTTTTTTTATTTCTTTGACCCCCCCCACAATCCCAGACTGATTTGTCTGAACATAATGCTAAAAATATACATCTATCAGATGTACTTTTATCCCTTTAGTGTTGCATTTATCTAGTCTGTGTCTGTCAAACGGGACAACAGAGGGTGAACATAAACACCTCACACACCCGTCCAGCTGATCCGAGCAAAAGGCAACACCAACAGCTAAAATCAATTTTGCTAAGCTAATTGATGAGATGTCTCTTTCAAAAAGAAGTTAAGTAGATTTAAAAAGATGACTATTTCAAAGCAAACCGTCTAATAAGTATTTAATGTTACTTTGCCAACAGGAACCAGTGTTCAATGATATGCTGGGAGCGAATGGGAGTTGTAGACAATTTGGTCAAACCTTGAAAATTATAAGTGTTCAAAGAATGTGCTGTGAATGGCCCTCAGCTATTACCACATCAAATGTTAACACGATATCTGATAACCCGACTGAATTATAACCAATTCAGATTACAGATAAAATAAAACAAATATAAAAAAAGTGAAAACAAGCACACATCTTTACATGTACATATTCTTTTATTTGAAACGAGTTGCAATGCATTGTGGGCACATCAAATTTGTACCATAACAGTCAAAAACATGGTTACAAAACGTTCACATAATAAATTAATAAACTGCAGTACCACACAAGACGGTAAACATAAACCCCAAACTAGTAGGGAAATATATTGCCTTAAGAGTTTATTAAAAGTACAAAACAAAAAACCTTCAGGGGTTAACAAAGGCAGCTTCTAGTTTCTTTTATTGTTCTTAATGTATAAATATAAAATCTCTAAATTGAAATTATGTTGATATGTTTGTTGAGAACCAGATGAAGTTCTGGGCTGAGATCCTTTCGGTGACATCGGTGCCAAGTATTCTTTCATATTTTTTAATAATTACAATAAAATACTGTGAGACATTCCAACCAATTTCCTTTGAGCACTTGATTTACCAGGTTTATAAAAACTGAGGCTTTCCGATGCAGTTTAAGCAATAAAAATCTGAAATTAGTCTCTAGATTCTTTGTTTTACTGCAACGTACGTCCCTTTAGTGTGATTTTAATATGTTTGTAAACAAAAACAACACAAAACAAATCAATGGAAATGTGTTTGCAGCAGTGCAGTGCATGCAGACCATGCTACTTTAAAACATGTTTTCATAGCTGGCATCTGTAGAAACATGTCACACAGAAACAGGTAAATATAGCACGATGAGCTTTTGTTTTACTTTAGAATAAAAAAAACAACAAAAAAAAAACTGACTTCATACATTTATCTATACATTTATCAACCTCCTGTGCATTTTCCCCCAGATTCACTCCACTTATCAGAACAATCCTGAGTCTCATCACCTCCGACATGCTTAACATCTGGAGTCCACTGGTCTTTAAACTATTACTGCAGAACATCATGTGGGTTTTCATGGCTCATCTCTATTATGTGAAAGAGGAGCCAGGCTCAAATGTTTGAGACTAAGTTGGGAATGTGTGCACGCATCCATAAAGACTGATAAACCTGAGTGCTAAACTAGACCTGATCAGGTGAGGTGTACCTGGAGCAGCTAGTGATCTGAACATTAATGTCATGACAGAAATGTGCTGAATGGTGGGATGTGGTTGTGAAAGGGGGGATTCCAGTGATTTCTTCCTGTGCTTCTTTTAAAGAACTGTTTCCATTTCACTTTATCACTAGAGACTGGATATGAAGGGAAAGGCTGTTATTGTCATGTTAAATTGACAAAAAATTAAAACATACTACATGATTGTTTTAGAAATTATAAAAATTTTTAATGTTAAATGATACTGTAAATGCTTGAATATTATAAATAGATATATTATTCTAATTAATTAGGCTGCTCAAAAGTGTAAGAAATGCAACATGGTAGATTGACTTTAATTCCAATTTCAGCAGAATGATTAAATACGATAAGTCCTGAAAGAGCAATTTTTACAGAGGTTCTGCAGAAAGGGTATGGGCTCTACGATAGGTATGCTATTAATGTGTCAATATATTACTACAGGACAAAACTAAAAGATCTACGCCTTAAGAATTTATCAATTGTAAAAAATTAAATAAAACATAAAAAGAAGCTTTTCTAAAATACATCTTACAACTAATTAAAACACATTCAGGCCACGTCTTTACTCCTCCACATATTTTTTTCAACTAATATTTTATAAAAAATATATAATATTTACATATCATTAGAAGGTCTAGCCCAGCAGGCCAGACCGTGTGCTGCTGTACCATCAGTTTATTTTGAAAGGTTTATAGAGTAGAAACTACAGTCGCGAGTGAGCTCAGCTACATATCCCCCACTCTAATCCATTGACTCAGTGAAAATGAAGGAACAAAAACATCCATGGCTGGCAGAATTAGCAGCACATGTCTATGTACCTGAAGCCTCTGGTTCATCAGAGGGGTTTCAACTTGGAGAGTTATGGTGAGTAAACTTTTTTTTTTTAAATAGCAGTTTTACTCAACAAAAAACCCATTTACACGTGAACGTGAGGTGCAAACGCAACAGAAAGTCTGTTTAAAAATGAGTAGTGTAGGCGAGGTCATAGACTAATATTATTTACATAATATAAGTACAGTTTCTTTACTTCTCTCATCTTTAAGTCAAGCTTAGAACTACTATCTTTTAAGTTCAAATATTAACCTTATATCACTTTAAAGAAGGGCAAGATTCCCTTTGTTTTAACTTCAAATCCCAAAACTATGAAAAAAATTAACTTGATGATGTTCCTGTAACTTCTCCAAGCCTATTTCTTGGACTGCTCTAAAAAAGAAATCAGTGGAATGCCCCCTTAGAAACATTTATTGGGACTAATGTGGGATCTACTGTAAATGCATGAAAACATGTTATCACCTGCTGTCTAATCTAAGGAAACGTCTACATGACCAGATCACTCAGCGTAAAGTGCAACGACAAGATCCAAATGGATAACACCCACAACACACTGACCTAATGTGTACACTAACAACACAAGCAGATCCTAAACGAAACTGAAACAGGAGGTGCAGCATCTGCAGATTCTTGGAACGAGTGTTGCAGGTGAGGTCACTCTCTGAGGGTCTGATAGTTCAACAAACAGCTTCTACAAAAACAATTACAAAGTCTCAAATCTAAAACCTCTTGTTCAAAAATATGCTTTACACTTGTTCATCCAGCCGTCGCTTTAAGTTACGAACACCTCTGTCCCTTTTTGAAACATTAAAAACTTCTCAAACTGTGCAATTTATCTCACTCTTGTACAAAATATTCCATCTGAAACATTCAGCTCGAAACCAACATGCACAAAAATACAACCTACAGTTTAAATTAAAGGGTTTTCTCTTTGATCCTTAATAAGCAAACTTGAAATCACGTGCCATCAGAATTAATGTTCAATACTTGTCTGGCACTTTGAGATTCCCATATTATGAAAGATTAAGAAATAGCCTGCCTGTGGAGCCCATAGAATAAAAAAAAACACCTTCTTTTTCCGGTTGATTTGCTGTTTAGGAGCCCCCAAAGTGAGGTATTCAGGCTAACACGGATTACTTAAGAACTCGAGCACAAAAAAACAATTAAATATTACAAATGAAAAGAACTGCATGAGTTAAAAGCTTAAGAACGATAGCAGAGTAGAAAATAAAACAAGGAACGAACATCCATGATGTGGAAATTTGAGAGGAAAGAAAGTTGGGGATTTTTTTTTTTTTCCAGTTTTGGATTTTTCCAGTTTACCAACCCCTCTTTCTGCTGGTGGACTAGATGGCTCAAGAGAAACATCTTCTTGTGTGAGTTTACGTGGGACACAGAACTGTGGAGAGAAGAAAACAACAGCTGGTGACAAACGCAGTCTGGGTGCTCGTAGAGGACAGCTGTGAACTATGGGAGAGCAGCTACAAATGTGCGACGTGAGGAGAGGAAACTGTAATTATAGGTGCAAGCAGCTGCTACGAGCTCGGAGTAAGACTAATTAGAAGCATGAGCATGTTTGAGTATTCTAGAGAGGTGGAGAGGGTGTAGGTGCAGCTACAAGCTCTGCACAGAACAACTGGCACCACAGCAGAGAGTGAAGCGGGGATGGAGGACAGCTTCTTCAGGTTAAGAGGGAATGCTATGAAGACGGGAGAGGAAAAGGAGTTTTAGGTTAAAAGCCTGAAGGTGAAAAAGCTGCATTGACCTCACAAACCTCACGGTCCACCGCCTTCATACCAGAGCTACCCAGAGGACAGTGCAGCACAGGTGGAAGGACAAGGAAGGGACATGTCAACAAGGAGCATGTTTGTTCACCATCAAAAACACAGACGTGAACGTTGTGCTTCCTCTTTTCAACGTGGAGGAAGCGAATCTGACGCAGCTGAAACGTTACATTTTTATAAAGTTGTTGATTTCTCCCCCATGCGTTAATCTATCCTGTCTAATCTGCTCAAATTATCAACCGTGGTTCCTGCTCAGACAAAGACTCCCCTGTTTTCCAAAAGTGATTTCCTCAATTAGTTTTTACATTATTGTTGCTATAGTACTGTGTAGTAATACAATATTTACAGGACATGTAGTAAATCCTGTATGGAAACAAACACACACTTTACAAGGGATTAGGGCTCAAAAAACAACTTCTAAATGGCTGTTTTAAAGATTATTTTACATTCCTTACATCATTCTGTAAGAAATCATGACTATTTATACCTATATTTATATCAGGAATAAAGAGTTTAAAAATAATCTGTATCTTACTTGGCTGTACTGTTACATAATTATGAAAAATATCACATTTTCACTTAGAATCACCCGTTAGCACAAACTCAGTAAATACTGGACCAGGACCAGAAGGAGAGCACACACCAGGCCCAGTTTAAAGTCCCTGCAGTGCAGACCTGTGTGTTTTAGAGTTGATCCAGAGGCTTCTTTAGTGTTTTTATTTGTTGTCCAAGTCTAAACTATTTACTGGACTTTAGTTTGATCTCTCGGACGCTCAGGTCCTGTGCAAAAGGTTTTCTGAATTTTACTCAAAGCTGGAAATAAAACCCACAACAAGCAGTCATCGGGGCCTACCCGACGATCTGAGGAACGCTGGAGTTGTGATGTTTTTAAAAGAAAACTCGTGGTTTTAGTGCACTTTTAGTTTTGACTGTTAAAACCATTTATTCACGACGTTAACCTACTTTTATACAATGATACATATTTCTTTTTCTGAAAGAAAATGTAGGTTTTAAGTTCCTTTGACTTCCTTTTATCTTATTCTAATGTTTTGTTTTGTGCACTCTTCAAGATTTTAGAGGTAAAGTTTATTTATTCAAACTCTTACAATTCTTACGTCTGTGGTGTCCTTAGTTCAATCAGTCTCTATTTTAACCCATCCTTCTTCGTCTTATTTTGCTCAGTAGTCGTGGGTTTGTTTTTTTATTTTTTTATCTGCTGTAAATCACTTTGTATCAAGTTCTGCTGTATGAAAATTGCTTAAAAACGTCTGATTAAAATCTCTGCAACTATTAAAAAAAACAGCATGTTAGTATTAAATGTACTTTTCATTAGCAGTACTTTATATTAGAGGTGCACAATACTGGATTTTTAGCTGATATCCCATATGCCAATATGTTAAAACTAATTTGGCCGATAACCGATACAAATACCGATATTCTTTCTTCCCCCCCCAGACCTACTTACAGAGACTACTTAGCTTTCGCTGCTGTGGAATTAAAATACTACATTATTCTGCATGATTTTTGTCAGTTTGGCCTGTTACCAAATGCAGATGTTAAAAAGGGGCTGAAAATGATGTACCACTTCAACTTGGATTATGTTTAATGTCAAATTTATTCATGACACTTACTCTCCCTAACACAATGACAACACTCGAACAGTGCAGATTTGTACATTTTCACAAATCTAAACTCAACCTGTTCACAAGCGACAAGTGAAAAGAGCATTAGTAGTGCATTAATATTAATATATATATATATATATATATATATTTGAGTTTCTTAAATTAAAAATGAACTTAAAACAGAAGCCCAATACATTGTTATACAAGCTTAATGATCAACTCAGATCTCCTTGTCACTGGGTTGTCATAGAAAAACAGTGCATTTTTATATATATATAAATGCATGAAAACAGCATGTTTTATACTGATGAGTTATTTTGATGGAATGGCCAATGTCCAATATTTAACTTTATCGCTAATATCGGCCGATACCGATACCATGCCGATAATATCGTGCATCCCTACATTATATGCTAATTAGCCTTTGAGTTTTGTGGATATACAATTAAATTTAAAGCAACATCTGGTTGAACAATAGATCATCTAAGCATGCTGAAAAAGTATTTGAAGCTGTTGTTTGTATTTTGAGTGAACATGGAGCGACCACGGAGTGAACGTCGTCAGAAAAACGGGGAGTGTTTTACCTTTGAGGATGTAGTCTGTTAGGAGGGCGGGTACCTTCTCGCTGTCGTCCCTCATGGCGTGGAGGACTGCAGTGATGAAAGAAGCTTGTGGTGATTTTACAGCACAGCACAACTCACGCTTCAGCTTAGAGCACTTCCAACCAAGCATTATTAAACGGTGTCACTAATCAAACTCACTCTTTGTCAGGATTTGGAGGTCTTCTACAGATGGAGAGCCTGATTTCCTTTCATATGGGATGACTGTGGTCAGGTACTGAGCAGAAAAAACAAAGTACATTAATTGTTTGTTTGCATGAACTTACTTCTGATGTAACTTTATAACAAAACTTAAAAACAAAAAGTGTCATCACTGTGACAAGGTTATAAAACATGCAGGGTCTTGGAGATCTCACGAACTTAAAGACCTGAGGAGATGTTTGTCTGCAGCTGCTCGGTTGCTGGTCAGAAGAAATGTTTACTGATGTGAAACAGAAAGCAACAGAATAATCTGGGCTTATAACGAAAAACGAACAAGATAATGACAGGAAACACTGTAAACTTAAAAAGACAAGTGACAGAGAAATAAGAAAATAAGCTATTGATGAAAAAGATGGAGAAAGTTTGCTGTCAGAAGTCAATCAAAGGAGCAACAACTGATGCTGAGCAGTGCAGACGGAGGTTGTGGAAAAAGAAAGCGAGCATGCCGGTGAAAAGAAAGAGAAGCGGCACAGAAACAAATCTGCACGGTGAAGAAAGAGCAGGGCCACCTGTTTGTCCCCTCCTGGGTAGCCAAAAGTTTGACGGAGGCCATTTTGAATGACATTGGAGAGTCCCTCCAGAGTGAGGAGCTGCTATAAGGAGTGAAAGGAAGGAGGAAAAATGAGATTGACTAAGAAAAGAAGGAGAAAGACTTGGAGAAACCTCTGGTGCGAGTATGACCAGGGTGTATCTTGGTGTTCAGTGTTTATCAACACAAACACGCTGGTGTCTTTCAGCTCACCGTGCCCGGTACGTGGGTGCTGCCCGTCCTCTGACCGTTGAGCCCTGTCGAAGCCGCACTTCGGACTTTCTTCTTCTTGCGGAGCAGCTCTCGATGCTCCTTCTGTTTGTTCTGCACATCAATCAGCAGCGAGATGAAGCTGTTCTTCACCTGCAGGTTGACAAAAACTTATTTTGGTCTTTGCAGGTTTTTTAGGGCCGCAGAGCTGACAACAATAAATTGACCTAAAATCTTTTATTAAGTTGCATTAATGGACTTTTAGACAGCAAATCAAATCGTAAAAACAACTAGATTAAAAAATCCACTCAGACTGTGAAGGACAACCTGTGATTCATTCAGGAGTCACGTTAGTGTTTATAAAATGAAGCAAACAATATCCGACTATTACATCAATATTATATTTATTAGCTTTTAACTATCATATATATATATATATATATATATATATATATATATATAT